TGTCTCTGCCCCTGCTCCCATAAGACTCCCATAAAAGACCCCAAATTCTGCCTGGGCTCCATAAGCCTGCAATGCACCTGTGCACTAACCCTGCTCCTATCCGCAGCCTAAGAGTTGTTTTAGCACCCACAGGCTGCTGGATCTCTCCCCATTTCTCGTCTCTCCTAGTGCTACATCGATGGCCCCTATGGGACCCCGACACGGAGGATCTTCACCTCGGAGCATGCCGTGCTCATCGGTGCGGGCATCGGCATCACTCCCTTTGCCTCCATTTTGCAGAGCATCATGTACAGGTTGGTGCTGTAGCAGCAGCTCAGGCTGCAGTCATGCCAGCAGACCCCCAATACAAGCTCTGACTCTTTTGGGAGTCAGAAGACGTGATGTATGCCATGGTAGACCTGCCCTCCAACACCTCTGCCTGTGGGATGAGCACCATGGGGCAGCACCCATCATGGCTCCTCCTAAATTCTAACCTCATGACTCATAACACATGTCCACGAGACCCATAGCTGCGTCCTCCCTCAGTGTCAGGCTTCCCCCTGGGGATTTCTGCTGCAGGAAACCCCCTGGCAGGAGGTTGGCCATGGGCATGCACCAGAGCTGGTGAGGAACGGGTGCTCAGGGTCTCCCTGCAAAGGTCTGCTGGCGTCTGAGGGGTGCGGGCAGTGGGGCAGGCAGGGGCAGGCAGGGCTGTGTCTGCCCGTGCAGGTACCGCCGACGAAAGCAGAGCTGCCCCAGCTGCCACTACTCATGGTGCGAGGACCTGCAGGATGAGGAGATGACGCTCAGGAAGGTAGGAGCAGGCGGAGGGGGATGCGGGACCAAGGTTTGCCCTGGGGACAGGGGCAGGAGGGCTGCAGGATTCTGGGGGTGGAGAGGCCACAAGCATCCCTTCCCAGTCCGGGAGGTCTGGGGAGGTGAGTGGCTGGATTTGGTCCCCGTGCTGCCTGCCAGCTCCAAAGCAGAGGCTGCTGTGTCCTTCCAGGTTGACTTCATCTGGATAAACCGGGACCAGAAGCACTTTGAGTGGTTCGTCAGCCTGCTAACGAAGCTGGAAATGGAGCAGGCTGAGCAGGAGCCGGGAGGTGAGCAGGAGGCAGGGGCTGGCCAGCGCGGCCCGCTGACCTGGGGATGCCCAGCCCTGTGCTTGGCATTGCCCCCAGGAGAGCCCAACCCAACCCGACGGGGCACGGTGTGGGGCTGGACCTCCCGTCTGCAGCCAGGCTCCCCTTGAACACCCAGGGAGGTTTTTGGAGATGCACATGTACATGACGTCGGCCCTCAGCAAGAATGATGTGAAGGCCATCGGGCTGCAGATGGCCCTGGACCTGCTGGCCGCAAAGGAGCAGAGGGACTCGATCACAGGGCTGCGGACCAGGACCCAGCCTGGCCGGCCTGACTGGAGCAAGGTGAGGGCTGGCCCTGCCCCGCTGCCAAAATCATGCTCATGGGAAGGGAGCCATGTGCCCCGGACCCACTCTTTTTGGGGGGGACACAACAGGAGAGCCCCATTTCGGAGCAGGAGGATGCACCGGAATATCCAGACCTGGGGAAACCTCTCCCTCCTGCAGGAAAGCAAGTGCCGTGGGGGCTCAGGGAGGCTGAGTTGTGCAGGGCAGCAGCTGCCAAAGCAGGCAGGGATCTGGCCATCCCTGGGGCAGGAGCAGGCTGTGCCACCACTTCCCCTTCTCCTTTTGCCTGTGCCCTAGGTGTTTGGGAAGGTGGCGGAGGAAAAGAGAGGGAAAGTCCAAGTCTTCTTCTGTGGCTCGCCGGCGCTTGCCAAAGTCATCAGGGCGCACTGCGAGCACTTCGGCTTCCGCTTCTTCAAAGAAAACTTCTAGCCACCAGCCCTTCCCTCCCTGCCTGCCCCTGCCAGCCCTGATGTGGGGTGATGGGCTCCGGTGGCCGGATCCTGCTGCACCGCCCATGTTGGCTCCCGGCTGCTGCTCAGTCAGAGCTGGGGAGGGTGGGATGCACAGCAAGCAAGGGACAGGGAGCGGAATGGGCAGAGCTGGGCCACGGGGCTTTGGGATGGAGGGGACAGGGACTTGGAGCCATTTGAGGTGTCCTGGACCATC